AAGACACATCGGAAGGCATTCTCATTGCTGTAACATAATGCCTGATACAAACTACTTAAAGGAAGGAGAATTTCTTTTGGTTAATGAGTTTGGGGGTTTCAGTTCATGTTCCTTTGGCTCCATGCACTTGGGCAAAACATCATGGCAGAGGATCTTATTCATGGCAGACAGGAAACAGAGAGAAAGAGAGGCAAGGGCTAGGGACAAGGTACCCCAAGACCCTATTTCCTCTTACTAGGTCTCACTTCCTAAAATTCCCATAGCTTCCCAGAATAGTGCCACCAACAGGAGACCAAATGATCAACACATGAGCCTGTGGAGGGCATTTCATATGCAAACCATAACAGAGCTCATGTGAAGAAGACAGAAGCTGAGGCAACGCAAACCAGGTATGGCAGAAGATCCCAGAATCTGAAAGAGGCAAGAAAGGATCGTTCCTTAGAGGAAGAGGATGGCTCTGCTGATGCCTTGATTTTATACTAGCCTCAAGAACAGCAAAAGAATAATTTCTATTGCTTTAAGCATCCAATTTGGAGCAATGCAACCTCGGAAAGTCACAAACACCAACTGCCATGTTACTTAAAGTAGACATCTGATATATCTACCACAACTTAATTGTGTAGACATAATGTTGCTGGATCTTTATTTTTCTATAGGAAAATATCTTTGTAGTCAATGTTACATTATGACATTTATCCCCTCTTCACTCCTTTTCTATTTTCTAGGGTTTCTTTTTTTCCTTTTTCTCCTTTACTATTTTCTACTGAATGTGCCAAAGTGACTCCTGCTAACTGTGAATTTGTTTCCTATTTTCCCTCTCTTAGTCCTAAGGCCCATACTTGAGTTTCTTTTTCTCCATCAATCTCTAAATTTAATCAATATCTAACATCTCCTAAGGGAGCTGAGTAGGGAGCTGGGAGAGACGCAAGTCCTCAGCTATCCCTGAGGTTGAAGATCCATAGGTAGTTAATGGTTGCTGGGGAAGAGATAAACATTTTCTTCAGGGGTACAGCCATTTGTAAGTTGTTCATGCTCCTAAGTAACCTTAATTACGCTCATTGGTTCGTGCACACAAAAAGACATGAAGACGTAGGGGATCGACAGGAGTAAGAGGGAAACGAGAAGTTAATTGAGGGTGAATATGAGCAAAATATATTACGTGCATGTATAAAAATGTCATAATGAGACCCATTATGATGTACAATATATGCTAATAAAAATGTTTTTAAGAAATTACCAGTATTGGTGCTGGAGAGATGGCTCAGTGGTTAAAAGCACTGACTGCTCTTGCAGAGGACCTGGGTCCAATTCCCAGTTCCCACATGGCAGTTAACAACTGTCTGAAACTTCAGTTTCAGGGGATCTGACACCCTCTTCAGACCTCTGTGAGCATTGTATGACATTGGTGCACTTAATATGAATGCAGGCAATATACTCATACACATAAAATAAAAATAATAAAAAATATATATATAAAAGGAAGTTACAGTATTGGGGCTGGAAGGATGGCTCAGTAGTTAAGAGCACTGGTTGCTTTTGTAGAGGACCTGGCTTTGATTCCCAGCACCCACATGGTGGCTAACAACCATCTGTAACTCTAGTTCCAGGGGATCTGATGCCCTCTTCTGACTTCCTTGGGCCTTGTACAACATGGGTGCACTTGCGTACATGTAGGTAATACACTCATACACACAGAATTAAAAAAGAATAATTTTTTTAAAAAAGAAGTTACTAGTATTTTATCATACCTTTGCTTCCTCTGGCTCCCATGCTCCAATCCTCTATCAGTTTGCATTTCCTGGAATGTTTTCAAAAGTTTTAATTCCTTTTTTGAAAATTATGGTTAATATATGTAGGAATGATTTACACTATGGACAGAATCTGGAACTAATGAATTTTACTTATCTTGTACCAAAAAGCTACTGTTTAGAACTGCAAACAAGCTCACTGAGCCACGTGCTCTAGTGACAGGGACCTGACCTTGATCCCTCAGGACCTCACTTGGCACTCCTCCCAAGTTAGTGAGTAAATCTGGATGTGTCTGAATTAGCATATCAAAGCGCTAGAAGCAGTGTATTCCTTTACATATCCTCACTGGAAGCAGTAAGAATAATGAAGCATGCTTGACATGGTGTGTATAAGACATTCTAGGCCTAGACACCAAAAGGCAAGATTCTCTGATAAGATAAAGGTGGATCCAAGCTTGTGTTTCCCCAATTCATGCTGGAGAAACTGTTTGAATAAAAGTGTGAATGAGGCCTGGCTCAGGAGCATAGTTCCATGAGACCTCAGAAGGCACAGGTGGTTCTCAGAGTTCAGGCCCACCCTGAAAACTAATGCTAAGGGTCATGCTGATTCTTTATTCAGCATGTGTAACTGTAACGTGGCTTAGTAATGCCACAAATATATATTAGCTATACACACTGGGTGATTTTTTTGGTGTGATATGAATGTTCTAGAATTAAACTGTGTTGATGGTTGTATAGCTCTGTAGCCCTTAAAATCACTGAATTGTACACTTTGAAAAGTGAATTTTATTGTATGTAAATTATCTTTTTGTTGAAACATTTTCTCCAGGAATTTTCCAAACATATCAGTACATAGTTTAAATATCAATATCTGAGGCCTTTTGTGTCAGTGAACATATTTATTCCACTTCCATATTTAAATTTCCTTTTAAAAAATGCTTTGAAGTCAAGTGTGGTGGCACAGGCCTGTGATCCCAGCACTTAGGAAAAGGAGGCAGGAGGATCAAAAGTTTGACCCTAGGCTGTGCTACATGGTAAGACCATGTCAAAAATAAAAAATAAAAAAAAAACAAGGACTGGGGCCATAGCTCAGTGGTAGAGTGTTTAGACATGGCCCTGGATTTGCTCCCACAACTGGAAAAAAGATGAAAGCTATTGGACCCATGGGCTCTGGTGCTACTGTTAAAAAGTCAAATGTTAATCTCACTATTGCTCGTTCTAAACAATCTGTCTTTGACTCCCTGCAATTATTTTCTTTTTGTTTTTTCGTTAATTTTTACTTCACTATGTCAAAGTATTGATATTTTTTCCCTTTATATCATTTGTTTGGTGAGTAGTATTTGTTTGATCTATCCTTCATTGTGGAGAAATGTGAATCACCTGTTCTTCAAATATTTATTTTTTCCTTTCCTTCTAGATCCCCTATTAATCATGCTGATATTTTTTCTGTTTCCTGGACTTTCATTTGTGTCTCATTTTCTAATTCTTTATCCCTTCCTGATGCCTTCTGTGAAATTTCCCACCCAGCTCCTCATTAATTTTTTCATCAACTGTTTTCATTTAAACCATGAATTAAGCTTTTTTTTTTCATTTCTGCTGTATCTGATTGGTTCTTTTATGCAACTCCTTGACCTCATGTGTTTCTAGTACCCTATCTGCCCTTGAGAATTTTTGCTAGCTTAATTGTAAATTCTTGTTTTTCTCTGGCTCTTTAGTTTTGTTCCCTTGGGAATTAATTAGTTGTTGAGTTGGTAGTTTTGTCTTCCCAGCACTTTACAGTGGCATTCCATAGATATCTCTTCTTTTTCTCTATTTCTTTCAGAGTTAATATTGTTATTGAGGAGGCTATTACTGTTTTCTAGAGGTAGGGGAAGAATAGTAGTGGCTTACAATGGGAAATAACTTGAGAAAATATAATTAATTATATACAAAATTTCTTAGAACTGTAATACTTTGTGATTGTTACAGTGCTTGTTAGTTTTTTTGCTATCCCCTCCATAAATCTCTTTTTCTTATATTTATCTTTTTTTATGTGTATGAGTATTTTTGCCTTAGTGTACATAAGTGCACTACATGTGTGCAATGCTGACAAAGGCCAGGAAAGGGTTAGACACCCTGGAACTGGAATTACAGACAGTTGTTAGCTGTTTGGATGGTGAAAACCAAACTCAGGTCCTTTGCAAGAGCAGTCAGTACTCTTAACCCCTGAGCCATCTCTCCAGCACCCCCTCCATAGGCAACCTAATAAGTCTGCCCTTTACAATGTCGTATTTTTACTCAAAAATTGTTAAAATTACATTTTGAGGCATGCATGATGGCTCACACCTACAATCCTAGCACTCAGGATGCTGAGGTAGGAGAGTTAGGAGTTTAATGCCACCCTGGGTTACAAGTGATCCTGTCTTAAAAGAATCAAAACATTAAAAATAAATTAGTTTTAAAGATTTGTTAAACACAGTGGATCTGCAAAATGAGATGCATCCTAGGCTTTTCTAAACCAATTTGGACATTGCTGATCTAAAAATAAAATAGAAATTGGGTGGGCATGTGTTATTTCTTCCCTGGTTATTTCTTCCCATCCCCTCATGCTCTTGCTCTATCAATATTTCTGTTTTATCAGACACTTTTCAGAAGTCTACCCTTTTCTTCGGGTTTGACATTGAATTATTCAATAAACATTTGTAGAGCACTTGCCATACACCTGTGCTAGCCTCTAGGTATCCAGGAAGAAATCAGAGTACAGCAAAGAATCCAGATAGAATGTGGGTTCTATTAGAATAGGGATTTGTTTCTGTGTTGTTTCCATTGTGTATCTAGAACACAATGGCATCTAGAACAGTGTAAACATTGGATGAATGTTAAATGAGTAAATATTGAACACTAATTACAAGCGCATTCAATGTTATGAAAAGAAAGTTCAGCTACTGTGGAGCATATAAATGAGAAGCCTAACCTGCTTTGGGGGTTACATAGAATTGTGACACCAGCTGAAGAACTGACAGCTGAGGGTGTCTCTTAAAGTGTTCCTTAGAGGTTTAAGCAATTGTGCCTGGTTCCCATTCAAGCCATGCATAGGCTTGAGTTAGCTCAGAATTTTCATTATTAATTCCTACAAATGAGAAATTAGATTACTTGCTTCATAATGTCACCTATTTACAGAAAGAAAAAAGAAAAAGCCCATTTAACAATGCGTATTTGTTTCTCACTTCATCCTGCCTGCTCCCTCATCTCATTTTCTTTTCTGATTTACAGATGAAGGAGCCTCTGTCCACCCTTGTGATGATACATACTGTGGCCCTTTCCCAGAATCTGAGCCAGAAGTGAAGGCCGTAGCTAACTTCCTCCGCAAACAAGGAAAGCGCATTACAGCATACCTATCCTTTCATGCGTACGCTCAGATGTTGTTGTATCCCTATTCTTACAAATACGCGACAATCCCCAATTTTAGCTGTGTGGTAAGTATTTGCTCTTGTACACGTGTGTTAGGCTTCATGCTTTCCTTTTCTTTCTTATTCCATGATTCCAATCATGATTCCATGATTTCAATTTTGCTACTGATGGTAGCAAATTTGAGTTATTCTAGTATCTTACATTTATTAACTCGTTAGTCATTAATTTCCTTAGTCTTATTTTACAAAATTTTTCTTAACCCCACTTTGCAGAAAAGAAAATTGAGACCCAGGGAGATTAAGTAATTAGACTAAAGACGTATAGATACTCAGGATCATAGCCAAGGCTAAGCCCCATGTCTAGCTCCAGGGTTATTGCTTTTAACTCCCATACTGCTTCTCAAATGAAATGATTTCAAACCTATTTTATATTCTTACCACAGGTTATACAGAAAAGGTCAAGATGGATTTGATTAATATTACAGCTTTGGTCACATATGCAGGGCTTTAATTAACTTTATTGAGTCAATAATTGTTCACAAATTATAGTCTGACTCTCATTAATTAAAAGCAAGTTTTAATTTATAAGTGCTATTTTCTTAATGCTACTAAGTCTCTGGGCACATAACTGAGAAGTTAGCACTAAGAATGAACAGACGTTAGGCATACGATTACATGAAAAGGAAAAGACAGAGCTTCTTATCTCAAAATCCAACAAGCTGTTCCATATAGGGCTTAATGTATTCTCAAGTGAGTTCATTTCAGAGCCTTTAGCACCTAAAGGCCTATAAAGTTCAAAAGGCAAGAAAACTAATAAATAGTATTAGAAGTCAGCATGGCAATTAGCTTTGGGGAAAAGGGAGAGTTGGGTGATTGGGAGGAAGCTCCTGTTCTACTCCCTGATGCAGAGGTTATAGGAATGTGTTGTGATCATTTACTGAGCTATAAACTTAAATTTGGGGTACCATTCTGTATGAATGTTAGTAGTTTCTTCTTCTTTTTCAATTCCTGACACTCACGTATGGTGTCTTTTCTCTACATCATTTCTCCAGTACTAACCAAGTAGCCAATTCAGTTCAATTCTGACACTAAACTACACAGAGTGACTGTCAGACTCCACAGGTTAAGGGCTCCGTTCCCACAAGATGCCATCCACATCAGACACTGACCCCCAAGCAGGGGATTTTCAAGTTATTCACACTTCTGTTTGACTTGGCCAAAGAGTTCAAGGTTCCCACCATCTTCTCTGGAGTTTCCATCGTTTACTAGAACAACCTCCAGATTCCAGAGAAATGCCTTGTTTACTGTCACCAGTGTATTCTAAAACATCTACTTGGGAACAGCCAAATGGAAGACATGTATAAGGTGAGGTACAGCACAGAAGCAGGAGGCCACAGAGCTTCCATGCCTGCTCCAGGCACACGGCCCTCCCAGCACTACCGAGTGCTCACCAACCCAGAAATCCCCCAAACGCCATTGTTTAGGAGATTTTACAGTTTTCTTTTACATGGATCAATTGACCAAATTATTTCCCATTGATGATTGAACTCTGTTTCTTTGCCAACAGGGATGGGAGATAAAATTAGAATCTGAGGGGTAGAAGCCAAACATGCTGCTAAACATGCTACAATGCACAGAGCAGCACCCCACATCCTCCATCAGCAATGATTTATTCAACCCACAAATCAATAGCAGCATTGTAAAGAGGTCTAGAGTAGGGGCTGGAGAGATGATAGATCAGTAATTAAGAGTGTTTGCTGCACAACCTGACTTCAGGCCCCAGCACCCATGTAACAAGCCAGGAATGGTCACATGAACATCAGTAGCCCCAGCACTGTCAGGAGCAGATACAGGAGGATTTCTGTGGCTTGCTGGCCACCAGCCTAGCCAAAAAACCTTCAAAAAGGCCTTGCCTCAAAGGAATAAAGCAGAAAGAGAACACCCAGCACCTTCTTCTGGCCTGTACACATACACACAGGCACACATGCACACACGCTCGCGCGCGCACACACACACACACACACACACACACACAAACACACCCACATATATTGAGAGAGAAAATCTGGAATGAGTTAAACATAAGCTAAATTACTAAAACTAAGATTTAAAAGTCTCAGAAATGAGGCAATCTTTGAATATTAAACAGAAACCATTAAATTCTATTAAAATTATTCAAACTATCCCACCAAAATGAGTCTTTGCTTCTGCTAAAATTTTTAAGTCATCCATTAAGTTACTTTAAATATGAAAATACCTAAATGAAAAATGTGTTTCTTATTTACCTGAGGACCCATAAATGTTCTTTTGCACAATCTAAATGAGGAAACAATGGAAAAGGGTCTTTGAATAGGTATCTAGCTGTGCTACCCTGGAAATAATTCTTGGAACAATGAAATTTCCACTTTTTATGGATAGATCATATTGAAACCCCTTAACAACACACATGTGTACAGAAACAGCTGAAGTACAGTGGACTCAAAAAAGTTAAAACTCTACTTCTGGCAGACTGGAAGCTGCCTCCAAGTGATCCAGTGAAGGAGAAGAGTCACAGTAAGAAAAAGTAGACTCCATTCCAACAGAGACAGGGGGGTAGAGCTTTAAAATTCACACAGGTTGTGATAATATACCAGAAAAGGGAGAAAGATAATGACATACTGAAAAGAAGGAAGCCAAGACCTCAGAGGCCCTGCCACTCTACTGCCCTTCAGCATGTGGGATGGGGATCAGAGTCTCATCCAAAAGATAAGCCAGGCAGCCCTGGTGAAAACAGACTGGCAGTCTGTTTCACTAAATTTTTCTTTTCCAGCTGGGAAACCCACCCCCACTCAGGGTCTCCCGGTCCTGAAGCAGATTAACCAACTAACATAAGACATTCTATTCAGATTTTGCATAGTTTATATGACATTTGGGAGGGGATGACTTACAAAAACATGGATTCTTATAGGCTTTTCCTTTTCCATATTTGAAATCCATCTCCCGCCTCCTGGCTCTCTCACTCTGGATTGGTGTTCAAAGTGCTCAATAGGGTGGGTGGCTCCACTCCTTTTTCCCAGTGTGCTCCTCATCTTGCCCCACCAAGGAAATCCCAACACTGGAGGGGCATCCAGCCTTTCGAAGCTCTCTATTCCAAAAATGGGGACTAGCCCATTCACGGCTAGTCCACACCCAAACATAAGTCCAGTGGCTTCCTAACAGCCACACAAAATGGTGAGAGAGCAGCCTGGTGGTTTTCCTGGCTTATATTCCCATAGCCCCACCTCTTAATGGGCTTGACTCCTTCTGCAGAGCATGAAAAGGAGGTGGGACCATAGCTTTTCAGAGGAACTTCTGGGTGACACAGTCTCACAAGTCCACAGGACAAGTCCACAACCTCACAAGCCTCAAATTCACTTGTGCATTTGGATGATACAGATTCTTCAGGTGGAAATGTCCGCATTGGGGATGAATCCTATTTTGTGAATTTATGATTCAGAAAGCAGTGGCATCCTAAGAGGAAGCCTATTGTTTAAAACTAAGCTGTCCTGAGGGCCTCATATCATGGAGACTGAATTTAATCTGCCACAGCTCCAGGGTGAGAGACAACCCTTAGAGGCAATTGCGCAGGCAGAGGGAGGGTCAGCTGAGGCAGGGAAGCACACAAGGAAAGACAGCTCCACCTTTGGTGGCTGGGAGCAGATCACATCCAGTGAGAGCAATCCTGAATTAAGCCACATAATCTGCTGTTCACTGCTGTGGAGTCCCAAAGCACTGAAGTTCCAGTGGTGTACCTTGATACCCACAGATGCATTCCTCCGCGCCCCCCCCCAGCAGAATGTTAATACCTAGGAGATTTTGAGAGTCCAAAGGCAAGGCCTCCACATAGCCGGGGATCCATCTCAGGACTGTGGTTGCTTCCCCCTCTCTCAATACACTTATGGAATACTCTTCCAGCTAGAACATCAGACATCCCAGTGGGTAACATCTGGGGATCTCAGGAGGGAAGGAAAATTTGTCCAGACTACAAAGCTAAGTATAGACAGCTCTGGAAGACATCATGGATGGGTCCAATGTTAGGGTTCCAAATAGCAGCTCCCCTCCTCCCCAACAGGGACCTACAAACTCTGCTGAGAAGCAGCCTGCCTTTCCTCTGACCTCCAAAGATAAGATAAGCAGAGTTCCTCTTATCTTAAGAGGAAAAAGAAAACACTTCCACACCCTAATCCTACCTGCTTCCCCCTCCCTGATTTCTCCCCCAAACATTCCCCCCTTCCACACCCTAAAGCCCCCATATGTAAAGTCCCAGCTCACAACCCGTGGGCGGACATCTTTCCCTTCCCGGACACCCTTTCCTGACATCCTTCCCTTCCCTTCCCTGACATCCAACACAGGCTCAATACCAGCATACACCACAGGAAAAACAAGGAAAGCCAGTCCCCCAACCCCTGCTGCATATTACAGCAGTCTCCAAAAGTCAAAAACCAAAGCTTCGGTTTTTCGCTCTACTTTTTGCCTCCTCTTTTTTTTTCTACACTTATAGAAGTATTTTTGTCATGTTTAAAATTTTTTGGTTTTATGTTTTTGTTTCCTTTCATACAATCGCCCAATTTTTATAATTTTTTTCTTTATAAGGCAATCTTTTCTTTTCTCACTGTTTTCTTCTTTTCCTTTTAGTTCCTCCCCCTTCCCCTCCCCCTCCCCCGTTTTTCTTTCTACTATTTAAGCAATGTTTTTACTTTATCATACTGGTTTTTATTTTTAAAAGAAAGCTTTTATTTTTATTCTCCTTCATAACCATATCTATTTTTACGTTTGAGCTTTTTCATTCTGGGGAAATCTTCTTTAATCTCTTGGCCATGTCCCTGCCACAACATTATTCTCCATTTCTCTTCTTTTTCTTTTTATTAACTTAAACTTGCTTTTTCTGCATTGAAGATGGCGGTAGGAAATGGAAAGCCTTCTCATGTTCATGAAGGGGCAGAATTAATATTGTGAAAATGCATGTATTGCCAAAAGTGACCTACAGTGTTAACATAGTCCTCATCAATCCAATAACATTATTCACAGAAATATAAAAGGCAACCCTAAAATTTATATAGAAGTATGAAAGAACCAACATATCCAAAACAGAAAGAGCAATACTGTAGGTATCATAATACCTTGTCTCTACAGAGTCATAGAAACAAACAAACAAAAAAAGCATGGTACAACCACTGTAAAAATAGACATGTAGCTGAGCACGGTGACACATGTCTTTAATCAAAGCACTCCAGAGGCAAAGGAGGCAGATCTCTGAGTTTGAGCCAATCCTGATCTACATGGCAAGTTCTGGGCCAGCTGGGGCTACAAGAGAGAGCATGTCTCAAACAAACAAATAACAAAAAATATGTACACCAATGCAATAAGATAGAGGACAAATAAATAAACTCATGCAAGCCCCCTGGGTTTTACAGAGGTTTCAAAAAACATGTATTGGACTAAAGACAGCCTCTTCAGCAAATTGTGATGTGAAATCTGAATAATCAATGCAGAAGAATGAAACTAGACCCAAATCTCTCACCCTGCATAAAAATCAATTCAAAATGAATCAAAGATATATACTGTTAGACCTGAAGCTTTGAAACTACTAAGGGAAAGCATATGTAAGGCACTTAAATATATAGGCAAAGATTGTCTGAAAGGGACTTCAAAGGCACAGGGAATAATCCCAAGAGTTGATAAGTGATGTTACATGAAAGGTGCAGCCTAAAGAATGGGAAAAAATATTTACCAACTATATATTAGATGGAGACTGATATCTAGAATATATAAAGAATTCAAAATTAAAACATCTCTAGAACAAATATCCCAATCAATAAATGGACTAATGAATTGAATATATACCACAGAAGAAAAAAATACGAGGCCAAAATAGATTTGAAAATTATTCAATATTCTTAGCTATAGGAAAATACAAATTAAAATTACCTTGAGAGTCTATCTCATGGCAATCATAATGGATATCATCAAGAAAACTAATAACAAATGCTGACAAAGATTTGAGGAAAGACTAACTCTTATGCTCTGCTGGTGGGAACATAAACTGGTACAAACACTATAGAAACCAATGTGGATGTTCCCCCAAAACTAAAACCAGAACCACCATGTGAGCCAGCTATACTGCGCTTGGGCATATACCAAAAAGACTCTAAGTCAACATCCATGTGTCTTTCTGCACGATTCACAATTGCCAGAATAGGAACCAGCCTAGATGCCCATCAACAGATGAATGGATAATGAAAATGTCGTACTTTACACAACAGAAATTATTTAGTCATAAAGAAAAATTATGACATTTATAGGAAAAAAATCAATAAAACTAGAACTCATTTTGTTATGAGATAAGCTGGATTCAGAAAGATAGACACTGCATGTTTTATGTGCAGAAACTCGATCTAAAAATATCTCTCTGTCTCTGTCTTGCTCTCTCACTCTGGGTGTGTGTGTGTGTGTGTGTGTGTGTGTGTGTGTGTGTGTGTGTGTGTGTGTGTGTGTGATGAAACTTGAAAAGGACAATGAAAAGGAAGGAAGCACTCTTAAAAGGATGGGTGAAGGGGGAAAGAAGGATGGAATACATGCAGCATAAAGGCAGAAGAGGGAAGTATTTGGGAGTGAAAGGGGACCAGCAAGAAAATGGCAAGTGGGAGGGGAATGGGGAAGGGCAATAGAGTCAGAGGTGAATTAGAACCAAGTATTATGACAATATGTTTGAAAATGTCACAATAGATCCCGTTACTTTGTATGCTATTTTAATTTTTAAATTATTAAAGCTGTACTTATACCCTGTATAAATAAGCAAAGCGACTGCTTCTTAATACATTTTTTCATGAGTTGAGTCATCAGAAATAATGAACAATAAAAGTCTCCAGACCAGCAAAATGCAGCAATCTTCTAAATGTATCTGCCTTTGTCATGGAATATTTCTAAGATTGTTGGAGAAGATGTTGAAATCTTAGAGTACTCTCCATAAAGATGCCTACTACAGTGTTTACATTCCCTTTCTGTTGGCTACTATAAGAAAAATGCCAACATCAGTGAGATCAATATGAAATAGTATTCCAGGGCCTGGAGCCTGGCCCTGGGGTATTCACAAAAGGTGGCACTCACTGAAAATACTTCATGTGCATCCCTGAGCCAGATGAGGACAGCAACCCGAGCTCAATCCACCACACACCACCATGTTGCCGACGGTGCTTCAGTTGAAGCATTGAATTATTCACAGGCAAGCCGAAATGGGAGCAATGTGTCATTGTGTACTGGCTTCAGCATACTGTTTCCTCCCAGGTGTCACCCAATACTCTCCAACCCCTGCTAAAACTAGGCCTTTTGTATCATTTGAAAAGGTTTTAAAGAACAGTCAATATTATCTTAGGTCCTGTTGGAATATCCACCACTTAGGATTTTGACTGTGTTGAGGTTTTTTCTCTTGACTTTCAGCACTGATAGGAAGAATTCCACCTTGGAATTTCTGCAACTTAGCAGCAGCCTCTGTGAGAGGCATTTGTAACCCAAGAAGTCAGGAAGTTTTATTAAACTGATGTTCTTGTTCCTAGTAGGAATAAACACAGAGAAAAAAGTCATTCTTACTTGATGGTTTCTCAATTGATCCAGATGTATTTTAAATACCTGTTATATATGCAATGAAATATATGCTTATGAATCAATATTATTTTCTGACTACTCTTGAAGACATGCTTCTTCAACATTCTTATGAGAAATATTAATTAAGTATCTGTTCAACACAGACATGTTGCTAAGGACAGGATATGAACTAGGGATAGGACTGACAATGTCCCAGTGCAATCAACTACTATGTAGTGCATAGAAATAAACTGAACTAATGTGAAGAGGCCAGCACACTTAATCAGCTTCAGAAAATATGGGTACTTATCCTAGCTCACCCGCTCTTCACCATATATCCCCAGAATACCCCTTTAACATCACTGAACCTTCTTTGTCTCATCTGAAAAGTAGAAACACTACTGATCACTAGTTTGTGTAAGGGTCAATGAAATCAAGAGATGTGTTCTAAAATACATATTATCTCCAGCACTGTAAAACAACAAAGTATATTGCAAATGTACCATGTGACATAAAAATAATACATTATTATTAAATGTAGTTGTTAACTAATATGCCCATCACTTCTATCCCTCTGTTGACCACCAGGTCTCAAGCAATATGCTGGTGTTTCTAGAAGTTTCAGTGCAACTATATAAGCGATACTGTTTCTCCATTTTTTCCCTCACAGGAATATGCAGCTTATAAAGCTGTGAAAGCACTTCGTTCAGTACATGGGGTACAGTACAGATATGGTCCAGCCTCCCAAACATTGTGTAAGTTCCCTGTTCATGTTGTATTAGAATTGTCTCTCTTGAGCCAATATCCCGTATCATGACTTCCCTTTAAGATGAAAAGTATGTTCTCCCTGAAGTGAAATTTGTGACTATCAAATTAGCCAAGGAAGATGGAAAAAATTTATATATGATTAGTTTTCCACAGCTTGACAGAAATCGCTGTACCAATTTAAACCAGTTCTAAGCAGAGAATATGCTAAACATGCAGTAATGACTACAAGTTGAATTGAGATCCCCTGACAGTGGAAAGTACCAAACTGGGCTCCTTAAGCAATCGTCAGTACTGTAAGAGTGGAAATGGGCCCCGTGAACATAATGAAGCGAATATCTCAGCCCCACAGCAGCTTCCCTTTTATCCCTTTCCTCTACCATTCTTGCTAAGAAATGCTACTTCCTATACAGCATCTTCAGCTGAATTTTCACTGAAAAGTGATTTAAAGTATTTCTTCTTTTACATAAAATAGAGAGGAACTGAATCTATAGAAAGAACATGGACCAAAAACTATAAGGGATAGATTCTAGTCCTGAATCTGCCATGTCCTGCCTAAGATGCTTGTCCTGCCCAAGATGCTTGTCCTGCCCAAGATACTGATTAATTCTGGTCTTTAGTTATTTCAACTGTAATATGAGGAACTGGATTACATTATTTCTCATGACCTTCAAAATACTAAAATGTATTGACTGCATGACTGGGAAAATTAGTGAAAAATCAGATTTGAATGTCTGCACAAGTGTATGAAGGTGAACACACACTGTACGTATGTGTATATGTACCAGCATCTGGTTATGTAAGGCCATAGATTTCTCTTTGGGTTCTTTATTTACATATTTTTACTATCTTACCCCCTCACTTTCTTCAACCTTCAGGACAAAGGTGAATTTATTCATTAACGTTACATATTGAATAAGTCTATACTAATAATGAGAATAACACAAGTATATAGATTCCTTTTCATACTTCCTGATCATTGGTCCATGCTGACCATTTTAGAATGGTTTTCCTCCCTCTCTCCCTTCCCCTTCCTCCTTTCATCCTCCCCTCCCCTCTTCTGCCTCTCATTCACTCTCCTTCCATGCCTACCCCTCCCATTCTCCTCTCCTCTTTTCTTACATGATCTTGCTGCATAACCACAGCTTGCCTCAAATTTACCAACTCCCTGCTTCAGCCTCATTTACCATGCCTGACTTTAGAACTGCTTTTTAATAGTTATCCTGGAAGGTTAAAAAATAGTATTTATAAGAAATCACATTACCAACTGATACCAACATAATACTACTTATATTAAAAATTTTTAAATATGAATGCTTAAAAATCTTACTCTTTCATCTTGGTATAAAGACATAATTATACTATTATATTTACAACCATACTATGATATAACAATCTGTTACTACAGAGATGAGCCTCTTCCATCACAATGATATAGTAATTGGCACATGCTATCTCTGACTTTGGCTATGATGGCTACCATTTGTACTTTATACACAAACACACACACACACACACACACTCACACATGGAGGCACAAATATGTACACACATGAACACGTTCATGAACATGCATGGGCACAGAAGCACCCATATGCACAATCATTTAAAACGTTTGAGTAAGTAAACATGCTCTAGAAAATTAACAGTAACAGTAGTAGAAGTATATCTAACAGGATCATATATATTTTAGTGAAAAAAAAGTATATCGAGGTTTTTCTATGAGATATTAATTCATTTAATAAATGAATTCCTTTAGAGCTTGCTATTCTAAAATCTACTAGGCACATTGGATGTAAAGATGTAAAATAATAATAGCTCTGCCAGGTGTGATGTAATCCCAGTACTTGGGATGCAGAGGCAGGCAGATCTCTGTGAGATCAAGGCCAGCCTGGGCTACATAATTCCAGGTCAGCTGGGGCTACAGAGAGACCCTGTCTCAAAAAGACCAATTATAAGGCTGGGAGAGGTGGTGCACACCTTTAATCCCAGCACTTGGGAGGCAGAGGCAAGTGGATCTTCATGAGTTCAAGGCCAGCCTGGTCTACATAGTGAGTTCCAGAACAGCTGGGGCTACAGGGAGATCCTGTCTCAAAAAGACCAAAAGAAAGACCAATAATAATAATAATAATAACAGTAATGATAATAATAGCTAACACATTCTAAGTGCTTTCAAGTGATTTAGTATTCCATTTAATTTTCACAGCAATCCTCTGCAAAGGTATTAGCATTATTCTTTTTTTAAAAAAAGAGGGGGGATGGAGAGATGGCTCAGCAGTTAAGAGCACTGGCTGTTCTTGCAGAGGACCTGGATTCAGTTCCCAGCACCCACATGGTGGCTAACAACCATCTGTAACTTCAGTTCCAGGGGAATTTGACGCCCTCTTCTGACCTCCACAAGCGCTGCATGACATGAGTGCACTCACATACATGCAGGCAATACACTCAAACAAATAAAATAAAAATAACAAATAAAATTAAAATTAAAAAAGGGGGAGACTGAGGCACAGGGAAGTCACACAACAGATAGGACTGGATGCAGGGCACACAGAAAAGGGTACTGCTAACACTTGTACTTTTAGCTCTCAGCTGAAAAATTGGAACATGTAAGGTCACAGGAGCTGGACGAGTCACCAGAATGGATTGTTAGCTATGTTAAGTGCTGTAAATATAGCCTGAGAGTGGGAGCTGAGGACAAAAGAAAACAAACCCAGAAAAACTGTGGTCATTGGAAACCTTCAAGAACAAAGACATAGGTAGAGACAAGAACCAGATTGAAAGTGTGTGGGGATGCAGCAGCATCTATCAATTCTCTTGAGTTCTCAAGCAAGATAAAGAAGGAAAAGAAGATTGGTAGTCAAGGGTATTGTGAGGAACAAGGGATCTTTGAGCATTTTGGCCAATACAGATGCAACACGGGAGATTCCTAAGTGACTCAAGATCCCTGAAAAGACTCTCACTTTACAGAGAAGGCACTAACTCTGATATCAAGGCAGGACACACATAAAAGAAGCACATGTCTTCCACTGAGCTCGAAAGGGAAAACTCAGGGCCCTGACATCAGAAGAGGGGATGATGCATAACCACCTACAGTAAGGAGGCAGTGGTGAAAGGAGGGGTGGGGCAAGAAGAGAATGGGCAAGGTTGCGTCAGTGCAGGAAAAGAAGCATGAGTCAGTGTTGGGAGCAGAAAGAGACTGCGGTGCTTAGACCCTGTACAGGTAGGTATACAACACCTACTCAGCAGACTCAGAGAATCTGGTCACAGATTGAATATTAGCAAAACAACAGAATGAGGGCAAGGGGAGGCATTTGGGAAGATCCGGTGAGGAATTTAATCAAATAATTGACCAGAAAATCAAATGAAAAGTCAGGAAGGCAGGCAGGGGTTTAGAAACTAAGAGCTGAAGACAAAGAACAAGTTCAGCAAGAGTGAGAAAACTGGGGAAGAAATCGAGGGGCTTCTAGAAACAGAGTTTCAATTTCCCAGACCCTGAAAGGAAAGAACTGAGTGATGAAAACAACCGCAAAAGAAAATAAAACTCAGTATAGATTGTTATTGGTGAGCAAAGTGAACAAAGCAAAGGGGAAGATAAATGTTATTGGAACGAAGACTGAGAAATTTTGAGGTCGTCACACTGACAATGCATTAATTTACATAGATAAGATTCTCAGGTGTGATGAGTCAGTTCCATGAGCCAGATGCCAAAGAACTGCTGTTAATTGTTTTTTGTTATATTTTTTATTATTGTGTGTACATATGACAGCGTGCATATGGCAGTCAGAGGACAACTTTGTGGAGTCCTTTACGTGGGTTCTGTAGATTGAACTCAGGTTATCCGGCTTACACAGCAACAGCTTTACCTGCTATCTCACAGCCCCTGTTAGATCATCCTTACTAACTGGTATTTCAATAGAAGGACGTGGTATAGTTTAATGAACAAGCATATTATATATACATTTTGAAAAATAATGCAGACTCTTTGGTGAAACTCATTTTTTTTTTTTTTTTTTTTTTTTTTTTTTTTTAATAAAACTCTTTGCAAACCAAAGGGGTGGGG